TGTGCCATGTGTCCTTGAGGCAGTAGAGAACTTTCAGAGGGAAAATTAACAGGAGATAACTGATAACTGACATCCATTAAACATGGCACATGGAACTAGAACAGTCTACCCCAGTGAGCGAAATAAAAGGGTTCAGTTCGACATTCCAACCACCTGAAGAAGGCCAGAGCGTACAACGGCCGAAACGTTGTGATAGATATGGAGACAAAGATGAGAACAATAGTCCGAATAATGTAAATAATACATAATAAAATTATCTATAGAAATATATATATATATATATATATATATTTATTAAAAGACATTTTTTATGTTTTAACGTTATTTATTTATAGATACAAGTATTTAAGCAAATGCTCTGTTTAAATACTTGTATCTATAAATAACAACGTTAAACATAAAAAAAAAATGTCTTTAATAAATAAATTGTCGGACCGTGTCCATTTCTTAACATATATATATATATATATTAAAATAAAAACGTGAGAAAGTGCTAGGCAACAAAAATGCAAGTCAACAACTCAGCATAAAATAGTGAATTGATAAATATTAAATAAAACAAAAAATATAAATAAATGGGTTAACTAGTTATCGTTCCACGCTCTTCAGCATTCAGTCGAAGACAAAACATCTAAATAAATACAACACGACGAATAAAAGAGGGGGAAAGTACTACCAAAGAATCAGCCTTATAAATTAGAAATAGATTACTTTTAGAACCAGAAACCTTTCTGTCTAGTTACAGAGAGATGGCTGTTTAGACTTAATATATATGGTCTCAAACGTTCTCAATATATTTGTATATATTAATAACATTCTCAATTACCCTTTCGGTGTGCTGGGAATTTTCATCAGTGATGTTTTCTTCCTGATGTCATTGGGAGTGTCTGGTCTCTAAAAACATCAGATATCTTCCTCAGGTGACCCAACCAGGAGCGATCACTTACCGGTTCGCTTCTTGGCTACTGATGTATGAATCTGCGGAATTTTACGTGAGAGTTTATTAGCTTGATTCTTTTTCGATTTCAGCCAGGCATAATACAATGTTTGGCAAACCACATAGATTAAATAGTAGTAAATCCTTTTAAGTTACTAGTTACATTTAATAAGTTTAAATAATCTGAATGTCTTATATGAAAACGTGCCATTAATAATTTCTAACTAGCATATCTTTCATCTTAATTTCACTTGTTTTTTTTTTTTTGTTTGTTTGTTTTTATTGCAACACTATATTTTCTATTCAACGACAATCAGTATGAGTTTCAAATAGACGGACCGGATATTCATTTTTGGAGAAAAACCCAACTGATGTAACCGTATTCCAACTAGGGGTTTAATTAAATATCCAGGATATTTGGCCTGCCTCTTGCTTTAGGTTGCGCACATTCTAGAACAAGACTCTTCATTATTAAAAATAATAAAAAGATAATTAAAACATATTTTAACAAAATACAACTACCCTTTTTATTTCAACCAGTTTGTCTATTTGAAACTCGAGGGTAATACAGCTTAATA